CCCCAAAACCCGGGGCCCCCGACGATGGTCCTTGGCGGTTCCCTTCGGTCGAGTCCCGTTAAAGGGACCGGAGAAAAGCATCATGGCCCCCGCGGGCTCGGGGGGGGCCCCAAAGTGAGTAAGCCGAAAGGGTGATCATGGTGTTTTTACCCTCAGCCACTGTGGGCTCCTACAAGCTTTCGGTTCAAGTCCGTAAGCGAAAAGTGGGCTTAAAATACTAGGCGTCGCCTTTAGGCTCTTGGACTGGGCCCAAAGCGAAAGACGCAAAGTGTGTCGGATTGTTTTTACCCTTAGGTCGAAACTTGACGCGCTCAAAGCGAGTCTGCGGTCAAGCCTTCCGATACAGGGCATGAAAGAGTAGGGTCTTAAAAATACTAGGGCGTCGAGGGAGGCCTTTTACGGCAACTAGATTGGACGCAGTGGCCGCCCAAAGTCAGCAAAATCAGCAAATTTCCGAGATTCGACCACTTTTTGACCAACTTGGTCGGAAAATCGTTGCGGTCAAAGCCGAAATCGATGCGGTCAACGCCTTCCCGATACAGGGCATGAAAGAGGAGGTCTTAAGAACACTAGGGCGTTGAGGGAGGCCTTTTACGGCAACTAGATTGGACACAGTAGCCGCCCAAAGTCAGCAAAATCAGCAAATTTCCGAGATTCGACCACTTTTTGACCAACTTGGTCGGAAAATCGTTGCGGTCAAAGCCAAAATCGATGCGGTCAACGCCTTCCCGATACAGGGCATGAAAGAGGATGGTCTTAAGAACACTAGGGCGTTGAGGGAGGCCTTTTACGGCAACTAGATTGGACACAGTAGCCGCCCAAAGTCAGCAAAATCAGCAAATTTCCGAGATTCGACCACTTTTTGACCAACTTGGTCGGAAAATCGTTGCGGTCAAAGCCGAAATCGATGCGGTCAACGCCTTCCCGATACAGGGCATGAAAGAGGAGGGTCTTAAGAACACTAGGGCGTTGAGGGAGGCCTTTTACGGCAACTAGATTGGACACAGTAGCCGCCCAAAGTCAGCAAAATCAGCAAATTTCCGAGATTCGACCACTTTTTGACCAACTTGGTCGGAAAATCGTTGCGGTCAAAGCCGAAATCGATGCGGTCAACGCCTTCCCGATACAGGGCATGAAAGAGGATGGTCTTAAGAACACTAGGGCGTTGAGGGAGGCCTTTTACGGCAACTAGATTGGACACAGTAGCCGCCCAAAGTCAGCAAAATCAGCAAATTTCCGAGATTCGACCACTTTTTGACCAACTTGGTCGGAAAATCGTTGCGGTCAAAGCCAAAATCGATGCGGTCAACGCCTTCCCGATACAGGGCATGAAAGAGTAGGGTCTTAAGAATACTAAGGCGTCGAGGGAGGCCGCTGCCCGCTACTAATCGGACGCAGTGGCCGCCCAAATTCAGCGAAAACGGCTACTTTCGGAGAGTCAATCACTTCTCGACCAACTTTGTGGCGTTATTGGTCCCAAACCAGAAGGCCCTGACAGACTTTTCTGCCTGTCTGCCCTGGCTAGGCCGAGCCTGGCCTGGCCGCCTCCGCCGGTCGTCTGGCCCACTGTGCGTGCCCGGGGGCGACGACGGCGGCGTGCCTGCGGCCAGGTGACGTGCGGTCCGGCACCGCCCCGGCGGCGGGGCTCCAGCCACGGAAAGTTGGCATCTTGTTAGGAAGACCCGGAGCTTATCTGGGACGTGATAACGAGAGCGTGAAGCAGCTCAGCCGAGAGCGAGGGGCGCGACGAGACGCGACGCGCGGTGACTTGGAGCGACACTTCCCGCCCGGCGCCGCCCCGCGCCGCCCCGCCACTCCGGTACTTTGCGCTTCTTTACTTTCACGGCAAAACATGATCCTTATTTTTTGTTTGGCGCCGTCCTCACGGGTCGACGGCTCGCCGCTCCTCGTAGACCTTCCTCCCCCTTCCTCCCCCTGCCGCTCGGCGTCGTGCCGCTCGGCGTCGGGGCGCGGAAGGGGCGGGGGGCGTTGCGCTGTGCGAATACAAAAAGTCGGCCGCGCTGCCGATTCGGCGCTCGAGGTAATTAGAGTTGTTTTTAATTAATTTGACCTTTCTAATCATTCTCACCTCAGCCTCACGGCGCGGCCGAGTCCTGCGAGCCCCACTGCCGCTCCGCTCCGTCTTATCTGCGGGCTGACCTCGAGTCCAGGTCCTAGGGGCGGCCCGGACCTAATCCTGCGCCCGGCCGCCCCAACGGTGCCTCGCCGCTCTGTCTCCCTCGCACTCGCACGGCGTCCCGCAGGGTGCGAGAGAGACAGAACGGCGTGACGAAAAGTCCTGCTGGTTTTCCGGCGGACGCGCGCGGCAAACAGTGGCGGTCCTTATTGCAACCGTTGGGCCGTCTGCTCGGCTGGCTCGGCTCTGCGCGCTTCGCTTCACCAGCCTCGCTATCCCCGCTGACGTCAGATCGAAATCAATAACAGCGGTCGCGGCGCGTCCGATCGTCCGATTCCAACTGCAATGTGGCTGCGCTTTAATTGCAATATGCGTTCGGCGCCGCGGGCCCGTTCCACTCGCGTGCTTTTCGATTACGAGGACAGAGAGATGAGAGAGGGGGGCAAAGAAGGGGGAGGGAGGAGAGAGAGAGAGAGAGAGAGAGAGAGAGAGAGAGAGGAGTGAGTGAGTGAGTGAGTGAGTGAGTGAGTGAGTGAGTGAGTGAGTGAGTGAGAGAGAGAGAGAGAGAGAGAGAGAGAGAGAGAGAGAGAGAGAGAGAAGGTGGCGGCAAAAGGGCCGCACGGCGCGGCCTTTTCATTTGGAAGCGACTCCGGCGGACTCCGACAGATCGAAACGAACCGTCTGCCTCGCCTCTCCTCTCCGCTGCTCCACAACTTACTCCCTGTTTGCAGTGGCCCGTCTGACCGCCTGCCGCAAGCTGCCGCTCTGTCTCTCGCAGTCATGTCGCGTCCCGTGTAGGTGCGAAAGAGACAGAGCGACGAAAACGACCCTCGGAATCAGTCCGCTGCCCGGCCGACGCGCTCGTTGGGCTTCTCCTTGTCCAGCGCACTGCTGCCTCTGGAGCCTCCCTCGCGCCGCGCTGGAGAACACGAAGAACACCACCGGCAAGGCGGGCAGTGCGTTCCGCGCGCGCCGCCGTTCGGCTGGCCGCTGCCGCACTGAGCGTTCGCCCAACTTCCAGTGGCGGCCCGTGGTGTTTTCATCAGCAGCCTGATTCCGGGAGTCGTATTCGTCGCTCTGTCTCCATCGCTCTCATGCGGCGTCCCGCATAGGTGCGAGAGAGACAGCGACGAAGACGATTATTCTCGAAATGAGGCTGCCCTGGAATCGCTCCGCTCGGCCAGGCCAGGCGCCACGCGCTGCTCCGTCGCTGGGCCTCCACTCTCTGCCGCCTCTGCCACTCTGACCTTCCCGACCCGACGCAACCGGCCCGCTGCGCCCGCTGCGGCTTGTTCGGTTTGTTTCGGGGTCATCGAAGCGCCTCGCCTCGCCGCCTCGCCGCCCGGCTCGCGCGCCCGTTTCACAACTCCTTGGCGGGCGGAAAGTTCGGAACCGTCACTCTGGGCGGCCCGGCCCGATCCGCCGCCTTCGCCCCGGACCCACCCCACCGCACCCCACCGGACCCATCAGCCCAGCCCCGCCCCTCACCCGGGGGAGCCACGCTGCGTGTGGAGAGCGAGAGCAATCGCGTGAATATTTAAAGGAACGCGTGTCATTCCGAAAAATTCGATCCAAATGGGAGGGAGAGAGAAAGAGGAGGGAGGGGCAGAGAGAGACGCGTGTACAGTGTACACAACCCGCTCACAGAACGACACGCCGAGCGGGACCGGCACCAGAGGCTGCACCGCACCGACCCGCAAGTAGCAGAAGAGGGTCGGCCCGGGAGTACAGTGGCTGTAGCAGCTGGCTGCCAGCCCCGCCAGTCCCGCCAGCTGTCAGGCTGGGCAGGTGTAATCCCGTTCAGCAACAAAGTGGCCCAGCGCCTGCCACGCGGGGATTACCTCGGTGCATGGCACACGCACACACACGCACACACAGACAGAAACACACACACGTTGCGGAGGCCGCAAGGAGGCGCCCCCTGCAGGGGCCCTGCTGCACAACGACACCGCCGAGTCCGTCCGGGCCGTCCTGCCTGCATCATTCAGCCTCCTGCCGGTCCAGCCTCGGGCCGGCTCGCCAGCCCCCTTGGCTTACTTCGGCTGCCCCGGCCCGTTGGTCACGTCACCGCGGCCCTGACAGCCACGCAGCCCCAGTGGGACGCAGAGTGCAGGCGGCCGCGACGTCATGGCGACGTCGACGCGCGCAGCGCACGCCGCGGGGCGGGGCGGGGCGGGGCGGGGCGGGGCGACCGCAGCAAAGTTGGGCTCGGATTTCGGGAGCTCCTCCGAGAGCTCCTTGGAGAGGTCGCGGGGAGTCGAGTGAAACAACCGGCGACGTTTGCGGCTTTGGAGCCCCAGCTCCATCTCCAGCTCCAGAGCGCCCGGAGGCAGGGCGGGGCGGGGCAGGGCGTCAACGCGCTCGCACCCTCAAGATAAAGTGAACTTGATTTCGGGTTGTACCGCCGCCAGAACAACCCAAGTTCGAATGCGCTCTGGTTCTGCTCTGAGTGAAGCATGTAGCCCGTTTTCGTTTTTTAACACTAGCTATATCAAATTGCTTCATCCATCGGACGTTTCCATGTACTATTCTTTTTCGTTTCTTTCCCTCCCTTTTTTTGTCTGTCCGTTGTCGCGTTTCACATTCTGGCCCCCGCTCTCCATGGCTTCCCGCGGGACGCGCTATCATCGCAGGATATCGGTTTCATTATTCATTCGATTCATTCACTCGTTTTACACTACACGGAGAGATAGACACACGCGCCGCAAACGGACCGGCCGAGAAGATAACCCGCACGCCCAGCCCCTCTGTTGCCGCCAGTCGTTTTCGTCGCTCTGTCTCTCTCGCACTCACTGGGAGCCTAGTGCGAGAGAGACAGAGCGACGAAAACGACTCTCGTTGCAGGCCTGGCCTCGGCGCGCAGGATATCTCACGCGCAGCGACTACGCCGCCTCCTCCGCCGACGGGTGCCCCTGGTGACGTGGCTGCCGTCGTACTCGGCGGAGTATGTCGTCGCCGACCTGGTGGCGGGGGTCACCCTGGGCCTCACCCTGCTGCCCCAGAGCATCGCCTACGCCCAGCTCGCCGGCGTCAGCCCGAGGGTGAGTCCGTCGCACTGTCTCTCTCGCGCTACCCGCATTTTGGATTCTTATCACTCCGCTGTCCTCACCCCAGTTCGGCCTCTACTCGGCCTTCACGGGCGGCATCGTCTACATGCTGCTGGGCACCATCAAGGAGGTGACGATCGGCCCCACGTCGCTCATGGCCATCGTCACCTTCCAGTTCACCCGGGAGCTCAACATCCACTTCGTGATCCTGCTCACCTTCCTCACCGGCCTGGTCCAGCTCATCATGGGCGTGCTGCGGCTCGGTGAGTCACGCTGACAATGCAGACCGAAATGGAAAACAGCCGGCCAGTGAGGAGGGGCGGCGCGGCGCTGAGGAAGGAGCTTTGTTTGGCCAAAACGTTCTGCCTGCTTGTCTCCTTTTCATTCAAGAGGCGCAGGCCCATTTTCTCTCCACCCCCTTTTTTGTCATTTTTCCCTCCGCCGAAAAGCAAGGACGAAAAGAATCTGTCAGGTCGAGAGGAACCTCTCTCTCTAATTTACATGGCGGTGCTCGAGGTCGCGGGGCGTCGCGGCGCGGACTCTAGCAGCGCGCAGCAGGCCGTGGAGGCCGTGTTGGCACAGGGCAGCGAGAAGCGGAATCGGAGATGTAATATGAGGCGAGTGGCAACGCCGGCTTGCACTTGGCCGTCAGCGGAACGGAGACCGACGCACAGTGGATTTGCCAGAGGACCGGCGCAGGCGGTCAAAACTCCGGCGAGCGGGGCTCACGGGACCGGCGGCCCAAAGCAGAGACACCTGAGTCAACACTCGCACGTCGTGTTGTCTTTGGCGTGGTCAGCCTCACGCGCCGTCGCGTCCATGACCCTCCGAATGCAGCCGCACTCGCGGGGGTGGATGGTGGAGCGTGGCCGCGCGTGGCCGCCACGCCACGCCCGAAACGCTAACTCGGAACGGGGGCCTCGGCTTTCAACTCCTAGGGTTTTAATTTAACTTCAACAACGTGAGCAGTGAAGAAAAAAAGGGGGCCTCGCTGTGGGGATTGGATCTCCATCGCTCTCCCGGCCGCCGCGGCCGCGATTCCTTTCCGATTGTGGCTCCTGATTCGATTGCTGGTCGCCCTGCCCCGCCCTGCCCGCAGGCTTCCTGGTGGACTTCATCTCGACGCCGGTGGTGTCGGGCTTCACGTCGGCCACGTCCTTCATCGTCATCGTGGCGCAGCTCAAGCACCTGGGCGGCCTGCGCTTCCAGGTGCGCGGCTTCCTGAACCGCCTGCACGCCCTGTGGACTCACCTGCCGGAGGTGAACCCCGGCGACGCCATCCTGGGCCTGGCCTCCATCGTGTTCCTCCTCGCCCTCAAGGTGCTTAGCTGCTTAGCTGCTGAGCTTTTGAAGCCGATTGGCGGACTATGTAAAGATGGCGGCCAACTCGCTTTAAGCGGCTTCGGGGGCCTCGCCACCGACTCTGACGGCGCGGTCTGACGGCGTGTTTGCAGCGCCTGGGGACGGTGCGGCTGGCGGCCAAGGAGCGCCCGGACGCGGCCACGTCCTGGCAGACCACGGCGGGGAGGGTCTTGTGGTTCCTCAGCATCAGCCGGAACGCGCTGTGCATCTTCCTCGCCGCGCTCGTCGCCAAGGTCCTGTCGCACTTCAGCGAGGACGAGGAGGTGCCCTTCGCCATCGTGGGTGAGTGTCTTGACGATGGAGCGGAGAGCGCCGTGGAGGTAGGCCGTCAGAACGCCACGCGCTGCACGCGTGCGCTCGCCTTGCCTACCCTGCAGGCGCTCGGCTCCACCTCGAGGCCACGAGGAGTTGGAAGAGGCAGCGGGGCAGTCGCGGGGGCTGCACCCTCATTCCGAGAGTCGTTTTCGTCGCTCTGTCTCTCTCGCACCCGTACGGCACGCCCCGCGAGTGCGAGAGAGACAGCGACGAAAGCGGCCGTCGGAATGAGGGTGCCGTGCTGCCGAGCGGCACAATGAGTCCCGCGAAAAAAGAGGGGAACGGAGGGAAGGAAGGGAAACAGACGTGGCTGCGCGGCGCTGTGCGGCGCTGTGCGGCGCTGTGCGGCGCTGTGTGCGTCGGGCGGGCGCTTTTGTCCTGGCCGTCGTCTGCTGTCGATGTGACTCGGCTTGCTGGCGCGGCGTGGCGGCGCACGGCGCACGGCGCGGCACCCTCACTACGACGGCACACTATCAGCAGCTTTCCCCCCGACCGCTCGAGCACAAAACGCACTGAGCGACGTCTTGAGTTGTCAGCCGGCGGGAAAGCCCGGCCGACGTGTCTGTCTGTGTCGCCACAAGGGCGAGCACGCCGCGTGCGGTGGGCGCGGGGCAGCGGGCGCGGCCATTAGGAAGGGGGGAGGGGTGCACCTTGACCTTGCGGGGGATGGCATGCTGGAGCCTCCAGCTTGCCTCCAGCGGAGCGCGAGAGAAAGACACTGGGCGCGATATCGATTGGGAGACTAATCCGGTTGACGTCCTGCTGCCGATTGTGGCTTGCAAAAAAAAAATACTCGGTGCGACTTGGAAACGGCGTGGCCGCGGTGGGCGGCAGAACGCACAGTGGGCTAAAACACCCTTTTAGGCGCTCAAAACCTCTTTCTTAAAATCTTTAAACGGAAAACTTTTTCACTATCGGTGGAAAATTTTCTCAGATTTAAATCGGTCTTTTTTGTTGTCAGACCAAAACTACGACCACTACAGGCCTTAAAAGTTAATATTTGTGATAATGTTTATTTTAGTAAAAAATGCAAAAAACGCCACAGCGTTTTTTGAGGCTTTGATCTAGATTTTGAACCCCCGGTGGTTCCATTTTAAAGAAAAAAGTACCCCGTTAAAAATGATACCCGAGTTATCTCCTGCGAAAATTGAAGGGTGTGGGGAATAATCGTTTATTTGATATTTTTACTTAAAAAAAAAATTTTGAGATCACTTAAAATTTAAAGCACTTTTAAGCACGTTCCACCGCGGGAAAATTATAACTATGTGTCAATTAAAGGATCAACAGAGAAAACCGCGCATATTTGCGCAAACAGTAATACCGGCTGTGAAACATTTAAAATGGAAATTTTACCTTTTCGGTAGAAAATGCGCCCCAAACAAAGGGGAAAAGAAGAAAGCATCCAGTCCCCATCCCAACCGTCCTTATTTTTTCAGTGCTATTTGGCCCCTTTTCCCAGCCCCGCGCCCTTTCTACAACAACCCCTCCAGAAAAGGCCACCCGGAAGTGCAACAGAATTGAGGGAAATGCAGATCTTCTGACTGTTTTGTTTCATTGATCCTTTTATCGCTCTTCAGAAAATAAAAATAAAGCCAAGTCTTAAAAACTGGGCCACAGTTTTTCACTTAAAGTTGGCCCCTTTGATGGCAGGCAAATGAGCCTCCCATTTTAGTTCCATGAAGAGTTAATTGATATACCATTTAAAAATTTGATTTTAGGAAATTGAAGTTTGACATTTGTTAAAAAAATCTGTAACCAGTTTTTTAACAGTATGTTTTAGGAACGCACATATAATTTTAGGATTTTTTTGACCCCTTTTAAGCGGTTTTCAATTGTTCCGTCTAAAATTAAACATTAAAAAAACCTACAATATTTTTTGCATCGATCTTTAGAAAGAGAGAGTGCCCCCGCAGACTCAGAAATATAAAACAAAAAAATACGATTATATTATATCATTTTCGGTGAACACGGCTGAGATAAGGCACACTTGCCGCCGCTTGTTTAAAATCTCATAAGTAAGACCAAAAGAGGGTCTGTCCCAATTTGGGACATATACGATCAAAAATGGCTGAAATACAGGTTTTGAGCGCCTAAGAGGGTGTTTTAGCCCAATGTGGAACGAGTCGACGGGCGATTTAGAATGGAAAAGGCGGGGCGAAGCCTGCGAAGCGAAGCATGCGGATGGGACGACTTAATGAATCGCCGAAAAGGTGAAAGGGAACAGAGCGGACTGCGGCCGAGCTGGGGCCGACCTGGGGCCGGGCCTGGGCCCTGGGGCGTGGTCGAGGTGATGGGGCTGATGGTCGTGCGCGGTGCCATCAGGAAAGCCGAATCGCTGAGCGGAGCCCCACGGATGGACGGGCTTGGCGGCCCAAAACGAGCGCAGGTCAATTGGACGGACGGACAGACAGACAGACAGACAGACAGACAGACAGACAGACAGACAGGCAGACAGGCAGGCAGGCAAGCAGGCAGGCCTGCTGGAGCAACACGCACGACGCAGCCGCCGATCTCCCGCTAACTGGCCTCACTCACCCCCTCCCACTCGCATTTGCATTCGTATTAAGAAGGCCGCACGGGCGCCCCCGCCCGCTGCCCCAGCGCCTTGCTTTGCCTCGCTAGCACGGCGCCGCCACGCCGCCACGCCACGGCAGCTGCTACAGGCAGACGCCCCCCTCGTCGGGCTGGATGGCTGGATAGCTGTATGGGTGGCAAGCAGCCGCAACGACTTGACTGTTTTTGCGCCCCGCCCCGCCCCGCCCCGCCCCCCCACCCCACCCGCCCCGCCCCCCCCCACCCCGCCCCACCCCGACCCCGCCCCCCCCCGCCCCGCCCGCCCCACCCGCCCCACCCCGCCCCACCCCCCCCCGCCCCACCCCGCCCCACCCCGCCCCGCCCCCCCCCCGCCGGCCCACCCCGCCCACCCCGCCGGCCCACACGGCAACTCGCGGGTAATCTGGAAGTGAAATTCCGCCGGAGATGGGAAAAGGGGGAAGGGGAGGGGAGGGGGAACTGCAGTTGAGCGTTCCGACAACACACTATTTATTTGCATAACTCTTTTTGCTGCTGACTGTTGATTCTTGATTGCCGCCCTTGCCGCCTGGCTTGCCCGGCGGCGTGCACGGCGTGCTCGGCGTGCCCGCAGGTGACATAGTGCCCGGTCTGCCGACGCTGGCCCTGCCGCCCTTCCACACCACCATCGGCAACCGCACCTACACCTTCCCGGACATGGTGAGCGAGCTGGGCGTGGGCATCATCATCGTGCCCCTGGTCGGCGTGCTGGGCAACGTCGCCATCGCCAAGGCCTTCGGTGAGCACGTCCTGCACCTCCCGGCCGGTGGAGGCGGCCAACGTACCGGTCGCGTCTTGAGCTCCAGAGTCGCTAATAGGACTCGAATCGAACCTGTGACCCCACCAATGGATTCCTCGTTCGGAGACTAATCCATTGGTACGGTCACACGTTCGGTTCGAGTCCCATTCAGTGACGCTAGAGCTCAAAACGCGTCTAGAGTTTTGGCCGCATCCACCGGTCTTCTGACCCTCTGAGCAACGCCTCCTATGCCGTACACACCGCCACCGGCAACGTGCAACGTATTCAAATGTGTTCACCATGGCGTTCGCCACAACAGCAGCCATCCACCACGGCGACCAGTGCATGAATCCTTGTTTTTTAGTCGGCGCGTCGTGTCGTGAGGCACCATGGAGAAATTTAATTAATCTTGTAATTGGAGTCGCTGTCTGCTCCTTTGAATGCCTCTGGATGATGAACACCTACCTCTGGGGCTCCCCCACCCCACTCCAGCCCATCACGTCACCACGTCCTCGACACTTCACTTCGTTTCGGCACCGCGCCGCACCGCGCGTCAACTGTCATGAAGCGAGTCGGCTCAGCTCCCCCCCCCCTCCTTTCCCCCTCCCCCCTCGCCCTTCCCTTTCGCACTTGGCACCCCATCCCTCGTTTTTTGCCGCCGTCAGCACACGCTCAAAAGTCCCGATCGTCTGCTTCTTGTTAATCAGATGAGGGGCGCCCGAGGGGGTAACGACTTCGGTAATTCGACTGACAGCAAATCCGTTATCCGAATGGCCAGAAAGTCTGGGGTAATCCGGGCAAATCCGGGCAAATTTTGAGGTAATCCGGGGTTAGTTCTGCGTGATCCAAAGGTAATCCGGGGTAATTCTGCGTGATCCAAAGGTAATCCAGGAATTTTTTAAATGTAATCCGGAGGTAATCCGTGGGTAAGCTGGCCGGGTAATCTTTGATCCGGCTGACACGAAATCTACCAGCCGTTACCCCCTCGGCTGTACAGCTCTCCATGCGAAGAGTGTTTCCGAACCGTGGTCTGTCGATCCGTCTCTCTCACTCAGGGGGCAGTCCACCCGGAGTGTGCGAGGAGGACAGCGACAGGGCACTGTTCGGGATCGGACTACAGACCGGAAGTACACTGCCCACACCTGGCGGAGCGAGAGAGGGACGGCAACACAGCGGGGCCCAGCGGTCCCAGCGGGGCTCGGCGGTCCGGCAGGAAATGAAAAGAAAACCTAATGGCCAATCACGTGTCACGTCGCCCCGAGTGGCTGAGCCCCAGGGCCCAAGGCCCAGGGCCCAGCCCCATTCCAGCCCTGCAGACTGTCGCCCCGTCTCTCTCGCGCTCATGGGGCGTCCCGTGAAGGTGCGAAAGAGACAGAGCGACGACTCTCGGAATCAGTCTACAGCGTCCAGCCGTCCAGCTCGCTCCAGGCGGTCCCGCGGGAGTTTGCCTGGCTATCGACAGTGGCCGCCCGCCCCCAAAAGGGCACCGCTGCTTTTTCGTGTTTTTGTTTGCTCTTGTTGTTTGTCCGTCGTCGAGCGGGTCCGAGGCAGGCCCGTTTGGGCAGGTTGCCGGTGATTGGCGCCTCGGGTCGGCCCGGGTCGGACACGGCTGCAGTGGCGCCGGCCGGCCACATTTCCTCTTGCGAGTGGTCTGCCAGGCCTTTGGCCAGGCCTGCTGGGGGCAAGGCTTATAGTGTGCGCGACGAGGGCAGCCGCTGGGACCGCCGCCGCCGTCCAGCTTCGTGATCGCTGTGACCATGGAGCCGTGCACCTGCATGTGCACCCACCGGTTCTCCTCAACGTTTCCGAAATTTTGGAAGGACACTAATGTTTTAACTTATAAAATTCTACTGCTGTACGAGGCGCCTGGAGTTTTTGTTGTTGCGTGTTTTATTTGTCATTTTTCTCAAATGCTATTATTTTTGAGGGTTTGTTTGTTTGTTTTCGGTCGGGCACTTGTTATGATTCGGATCGGACCTCAGCTTTAGAAAAAAAGACCACCAGAGTATTTCTCGCGTTTAAAAAGAAAAAGTCCAAATGTTCCAAAATATGAATAGGCATTGAAAAAATACCAAGTGGTACTTGCAAAATACCAAGCAGTACAAGGGCACAGCGAACGTGGATGGTCCCTCGAGGCTGCGAGAGGCTTGTTGTTGGTTGTCGTGCTGAAAGTGGCTTCTGCTGACCCTGAAGAGACACCTGTGGCCAGAGAGGGTGTCGCGGCGGGGCGTCTCCCGGGACTCTCCCTCTCTCCTCAAGGGCGCCAAGCACACTCCCCCACCCCCGGCCGTCGCGACGGGGTTCCGCGAACGCAGTCCGAGCGCCGGGTATTTTGTTGCCGAATCGTGACGCCAGCGAGGTGGGGAGGCTTTCCTCTCTCTCTCTTTGGAGCGGACTGGGAGCCCGTAATGGTAATGGTAATGGGAGCGCCGTGGGGGTAGGCAGCGTCAACACACTCCTACGCTCAAGCAGGCTCGGTTGCCTACCCGCCATTACCATTACCATTAAGGGCCAGACCACACATGATCGTTCTTCTGTCCAGTTGCTGAGCGTTGCGTCTGACGTCTGTTTGAATGTTCCTCGGGCCGCAGCGTCCGACCAGACGATGGACGCGACGCAGGAGATGGTGGCGCTGGCGGGCTGCAACCTGGTGGGCTCGCTGGTGCAGGCCATGCCCGTGTGCGGCGCCTTCACGCGCTCGGCCGTGTCGCACGCGTCGGGCGTGCGCACGCCCATGGTGGGGCTGTACACCACGACGCTGGTGGTGCTGGCCCTGGCCTTCCTCACGCCCTACTTCTACTTCATCCCGCGCGCCACGCTCGCCGCCGTGCTCATCTGCGCCGTGGCCTTCCTCATCGACGCGTCCATCGTGCCGCAGCTCTGGCGGACCAGCAGTGAGTACGACGCAGCCTTTCTATCCCACACAGTGGATTTGCCGGAAGACCGGTGGAGGCGGTCTGAATCCCGGACGCGTTTTGAGCTCCAGAGTCGCTGAATGGGACTCGAACCGAACGTGTGACCCCATCTATAGATTGCTCTCCGAACGAGGAATCCATTGGTGGGGTCACTCGCTCGGTTCGAGTCCTTCAAAGCGACTCAGGATCTCAAAACCCGTCTAGGGTTTTGGCCGCCTCCGACCGTCTTCTGGCCAATCCACTGTGAGGTGGCTCCGTTTTCGTTTTCGCTCCGCCTCGCTCGCTACAGGTGGCGCCTGGGGCAGCGGGGCGGCGGCTTGCAGGGAAATGTGGAAGAAGTGCGTGCCGTGGCGCGGGGCCCTCGGCCCTCGCTTCCCTAATGATGTTAATAAGGCAGTGGAGGGCCCCGACAGTGGCGTGGGCGGCCAGCGGGCCAGCGGGCTGCCCGCCATTATCATTCATCGTTACCTGGAGGGAGGCTGGGGCTTGGGCTGGGCCGGCGGACCGGGTAGGCGGCGGGTGCTGAGTGCGCAGCGCAGCCCGGCGCAGCCCGGCGAGGCCCGGCGAGGCCCAAGGCGCTACCCTCTACCCTCTGCGAGGCGCGGCACCTGTCTGCGAGACTTCTTCTCCGTCTTTGAATATGCATGCAATTCCCAAGTTGTCGCGCCGTGAGATTGCGCGGCGCGGGCCTCTTAAAGGTCGAGCCGAGCCGAGACACGGTGCATGCACAGTCTCCGCGGCTCTAACAACCCCAACAGGCACTGCACTGTGTCGCCGTGCTCATTAGGCCTCGGGCGGGGCGGGGCGGGGCGGGGACCCCGCCGCGGGGTGGGGCGGGGCGGGGCGGGGCGGCAGTCCCCGAGGAGACTGACGCCGAGCTGCCATGCCACTTCCCCGGCATGAGACTCCGCTATGCCGCTTTGTTGGCCTTCTTATTGCTGTCCTTATTATCATCATTATGGAAAGGCAAAGACCGCGCTCCCCATTCTCTGTCTCTCTCTCTCTCTTTCCGATTCGCTAATGATGACGGACTCCCCGGCAGGCCGTCCGAGACAGACCTAATTAGGGCTTGGAGTGGAGTACGGCGTTTACCGGGACGCGGCGGCCTCCAAAAGTCTCGAAAAGCCTCGACTCGATTCGATAATTTATTGGCTTTGCTTGGCTTGTTCGTCGCAGAGAGGGACCTGGTGACGCTGCTGGTGACTTTCTCCGCCTGCCTGTGCTTCGGCGTGGAGGTGGGGCTGGTGCTGGGCATGGCCCTGGACCTCACCAGGCTGCTGCACGTCTGGGCGCGCCCGCGCCTCACCATCACCATCTGCTGCGTACGTAACGTGGAGGGTCCCGGGCCAGGCGGCCAGTTGCACAGTGGGCCAGAAGACCGATGGAGGCGGCCAAAACTCTAGACACGCTTCGAGCTCCAGTCACCAAGTCACCACTCGAACCGAACGAGTGACCCAAAAAATGGATTGCTCTCCGAACGAGCACGTCCTGTTAAGCGACTCAGGAGCTCAAAGTGCGTCCGGTCTTCTGGCCCACTGGGAGTTGGAGCGCGTTTTAAATCGGACCCGAATCAAACTCATGGCGGTGGCACCCCTTGTTCCAAGGGCAATCCGAGGGGTACCTCCGTTACGAGTCGAGTCCAAGTTTTCTCCAGTGTAGCTCAAAGCGTGGCCGGATTCGCGCCTGCCTAACTACTGTCCTTGACTGTCCTCCACTGTATCACGTTCTCTCTCACCCTCTCTCTCTCCTCCGCGACTCGCGACTCTGTTGGGCTGCCTTCACTTTCAGGTGTTCTGGAATGTATGCCAATCTGGCCGCCCCGCCCCGCCCCGCCACCTTCTCGCCCGCCCTTTTTCCCCATCCCGCCCATCCCGGTCGACAGATAATTATTTATCACGGGCGCAGCAGCTGTTGCCATCAGCTTCTCATAAATAATGACGCCAATATCTAGATCCTCACTCGCCGGCGGGTTGGGGTGCAGGTGGGGCCGGGGCGGGGCACGCGCGGTGCGGTGCTGCCGCGCCAAACCGTCTCGATATATCGCAGCCATTCATAAGTCTCGCGGGACGCTCTTTCTCCTCCTCCTCCTTCTCCCTTCTCCGGTCGCGGGAGGGAAGGCGACGACGGGATGGTCTTGGCGGTAAAGTTGGTAACGCAGAAGAGCGAGAGTCTCCTCCTCGGCGTGATGGGGCGGCCTGGCCTGGCGGCCTGGCGTCTCAAGTGTCAGTGGACTGATTCCGAGACTCGTTCTCGTCGCTCTGTCTCTCTCGCACCTTTCCGGGACTCCCCATGAGTGCGAGAGAGACAGAGCGACGAAAGCGGCTCTCGGAATGAGGCTGCCGTGTTACGTCGGCCCCACGGTCGTATACGCACGGGGCGATGATCATGCCCGGGAATACGGCCGTGTGTAACAGGGTCTTGTAAGGAACGCAAAAAAAATCATCTTACAAAAAATGTTATTTTTACTTTTTTCAAGTTTTTTTTTAAGTTTAAACCTGCGAGGATCGTTGCGCGCACCGCGGTGTGCCTCGTCAGGTGGCGCGTGTCGTTTTTTCCGCCGGCCTGTATTGCTCTCACGGCGCCTCGCCCCGGCGAGCCCTCTGGGCCGGCCGAACCGGGCGGGGAGATAAAGGCGTTGTCAACTCGGCGAGGTAAATTGCAGTTGCCACAACTTGGGGATAGCAGCCGAGCAAGCCAAGCAAGCAGGCTGCTGCACAGTGGGCCAGAAGACCGGCGGAAGCGGCCAAAACTCTAGACTTGTTTTGAGCTTTAGAGTCGCTAAACACGACTCGAACCGAACGTTTGATCCCGCAACGGATTCCTCGTTCGGAGAGAAATCCATTGGCGGGGTCTTGCGTTATGGTTCGAGTCGTGTTTAGCGACTCTGGAGCTCAAAGCGCGTCCGGGATTTCGACCGCCTCCACCGGTCTTCTGGCCCACTGTGCGCCGCGCGTGCACTGGCCCGGACGACGGAGGGAGGGAGGGGCGAAATAAAGTGTCACGCTTAAATTGGCGGGGCGCGCTGGGGCTGGAGGCTGGAGGCCGCTGGAGGCCCAGGTACGTAAGCCCCGCGCACCGCGGCCGTGGCGGGCCGTGGCGGCCAAGGCGCAAGTTGGCCGAGCAACTTAAGGCCCGTAATGCCGGGCGGGTGTTACCGCGGCGTCGGGCCCGGAAACGTGTTTTGTCTCGGCCAACTTCATTATTTGCTCCGCGTGAATGGCGCCGTCCCGGGTCCCGGGCCGTCCCGGTCGGCCACTTCGACGACCCCCCCCCCCCTCCCTGTCCCCTCTCCCGGGGAGACGACGTCTTGCGCATTCACCGCGCGCGCTCGCCTAGTCGCTTCAACTAGTCAAATTTGTCGTGGAGTGGAGTGGAATCGCGCAGCCAGGCGGTGTGGACTATGGAAAAAGTGAGTGTCGATACCCCCTGCGTGGAGGTGGCGTTGGCGGCCTCCCTCGCGCGGGGTAGCGACGGGTAGGCCTCGTCTGGCTGGCACCGGGCCGGCACGGTACCATGGGCCTTTGGTTGCCTTTGGTGCAGTGGGGTGTGTGGGGGCCGCAGGAGGGTGGTGGCGAGTACATCCTGGTGCGGCCGTCGCTGGGCCTGCTCTTCCCCGGCGTGGACACGCTGCGCCAGCTCGTGGACGAGGCGGGCCTGCACGAGGGCCAGGGCACGCTGCCCGTCGTGGTGGACTGCGCGCCCATCCTCGCCATGGACTTCACCGGCGTCAAGGTGAGTTTGCCTGCCGCGCACAGTGGGCCAGAGGACCGGGGGAGGCGGCCAGAACCCCGGACGCGCTTTGAGCTCCAGCGTCGCAAAATGGGACTCGAACGGAACGTGCGACCCCACCAATGGGTTGCTCTCCGAACGAGGAGTCCATTGGTGGGGTCGCGCACGCTCGGTTCGAGTCCTGTTTAGCGACTCTGGAGCTCGAAACGCGACTAGATTCTTGGCCGCCTCCATCGGCCTTCTGGCCCACCGACCGGCCTTCTCGGCTCCGTCCAAGTTGACTGGGCCCTTGTTGCAGGCGTTCGAGGCCCTGGTGCGTGACTTCGAGAAGCGCGGCCAGCAGCTGCTCTTCCTGGAGGTGGACCCGGACGTGCGGGACCTACTGCGGCGCGCGGGGCTCTACAACTCCATCAGCTTCTGCGAGGAGGAGGACGACCTGCCCTCCATGATGTTCGGTACTGCCCCCACTCCGCCTGGCAACAGTGCCGCCCGGACTGGGCCCTGTAGACTGAATCCGAGAGTCGTTTTCGCCGCTCTGTCTCTCTCGCTCCTTCACGGAACGCCCCGAGAGAGACAGAGCGACGAAAACGACTCTCGGAATCAGTCTGCTGTATCGGCATGCTGCCGTTCAATTACGTGGGCCGTCTGTGTTTAATATGGACAGCAGGCCACGGCCAGGCCCGCCCTGCTCCGCCCTGCTGGCGGATAAACAAGCACGTCCTGGGCCCGGCCTCTGAGAGGGACGCTCCGCACCAGAGGGCCACGGCCAGGCTGGGCCAGGCCGGAGCGGACGGAACCCTGGACACGTTTCGCACTCCTCGGAACCGTGACCAAACCGAACACAGTACCGGTGGATTCCTCATTCAATGTATCGATGCTGTCGTATTTGGCGCGGGATGTGTGCGCGCCGTTCCAAACCATTCCCGAGTTTTCCTCCTGTGCCGAGCGATCCCAAACAGTGGTCCGTCCTGGCGGACTGGAGGGACGTGGCTTGGCGTGGCGTGTGCCGAGCCCCGAACGCGGCCACCTAACCCACTTAACCGCCGCATACCCCCGTGCAAGTAGTGCAAGTGGCACGGCACGGCACGGCCCGCGTCTGGCCTGGCACGGCACGGCACGGCAGGCACGGCACGCCACGGCACTCCGGGGTCGTGCGGGAACAATGGCGTCCGTGACAGACTGTCTAAGTGTTGGAGGGCGGAGTGCGCCCTCCTGGAGTGCAACCGGTTGCCGCGTTCAGCATTCAGCCAGCTTCCTGCGGCCGCAAGGTCCCCGTCGTGGCTAGCGCTGGTCCACGCGCGGGGCCGCGACGGACGCGGAGTTCACAGCGCGGCGACGTGCTGCCCTCTAGCGGCGGTGCCGCCAAGTCACTCGCGACGACGGCCGGCGCGGGGTATTGCCGGCTGGTGGAGACGCGTAGCTGGAGCCTCTGCCCATGGCTCTGCCCGTGGCTCTGCCCGTCCTCATGGCCGTCTGCCCCGTGTTCCAGGAGAGCGGCTACGCACCGCCAGCAACCAGGACGCCGACGACGCCCGCTCGTCCCTGGCGGCCTGCGAGTGGGGCGTCGACGGCAAGGTGCAGCGCGGCGACGGCGACGCCTCGTCCACCGCCACGGCGGGCGTCACCGCCAGCTCCGCGACGACGCCCGCGGGCCCGCGCTGCAGCATCTGATGTGCTTTCACGACGCCAGCTGTGTGCTCGTCTCTTGCGTGGGGGACCAACGGGCGAAAAGAAGAGACGGCACTCACACACGTTCAAGACGATTTAATACAAATTAATAAAATAAATTACAACATCACCGCGCCCCGCCGTAGCAATACTTGTCCTACTCAGCCTCTGAGTCTTCGGCTCGCACTGTAAAACACGGAGTCGCATCACAAAGGTTACACAGATACGTGGAACCTATACAAGAATAAATTACTTTATCCAGGAAACGCATTATTCCGCAAACGCAGACTCATTCCCAGAAGATAACAGTCGAGGACGAAAGGTAAGCTGCCTACGCGTTCTTCACGGGGGTCCTGCCCAGCAGCCCCGTGCTGAAGGCCTTCTTGGCCATGGCCGACGCCGGGGTTGGGGCGGCGGGGGGCGGGAGGGCGGCGGCGCGCTCAGCCTGGTCGCCGTTCTCTTGCGGCTGATGTTGCTGCTGTTGTTGTTGCTTCTGCCGTTGCTGGTCCAGGACGAGGCCCAGGGGGTCCTCCTCGCAGATGGTCGGGGTGCTGCAGTGGAAGGAGTTGCCGAGGTTGAGGCCGGCCAGGCCGTGGCCGTGGCCGAAGCCGCCGAAGCCCGACGAGCAGGGGCTGCCGACCACGCTGTCGCTGCTGCCCAGGCTGAGGCTGAGGCTGAGGTCGTCGCCGGCCTCGTCCTCCGGCACCGTGATGGGCGTGGCGCCGTCGTACAGCGACGTCCTGGACAGCGAGCGCTGGTACTGCACACGCGACACGGAGCGCACGAAGCTGTGGCGGCGCGACAGCGTGCGCGTCAGGGACAGCTTCTCGGCCAGCTCGGTGGGCGTGCGCGGTGTCTTGCGCGCCACCGGGGACAGCGGCACCTCGTCCAGCAGGTCCGTGGCGTGCTCCGAGATCACCTCCCACGCGTGCTCTGTGGACGGGACAGCGCCGGTTAGAACGACACCGCACAGTGGGCCAGAGGGCCGGTGGAGGCGGCCAAGACTCTAGACTAGGCGCGTTTTAAAGTCCAGAGTTGCTAAATGGGACTCAAACCAAACGTGTGACCCTCACCAATGGATTGGTCTCCGAACGAGGAATCCATTGGTGGGGTCAAACGTTCGGTTCGAGTCCTGTTTAGACACTCTGGAGCTCAAAACGCGTCGATAATTTTGGCTCGCGCAGGAGGCGTACGTACCGATGTCGGCCTCGGTGGCGTGCTCCGCGACCACGCAGAAGCGGATGACGTAGCGGCCGCGCACCATGGAGGGGATCATGTGCAGCTTGCCGGACTCGTTGAGCGCGGCCAGCAGCTGCTGGTTCATGCGGTCCGGGCCGCGGAGGCGGAAGCACACCAGCCCCAGCTGCGGATGCGGAAACCAGGAGCAGAGTTAACGACGCGCTTCAATCTGAATGTCCTAACTGAAGCTACTTTGCTGGCGACCCAGTGGCGGCCGGCAGAGCCAGGCCGGCAGAGCCAGGCCGAGCCGAGCGCCCGGGCGGTAGGCATTCCGCCTTCAGGCCTGCGCTGCGGGACTGCCTACCCTCGCGCGGTCAGGCGGCTTGCGCAGCGTGCGCAGCGTGCGCGGCCCGCTGTCAGGGCTAGCCAGCAGCCTCGCCACTATCGGTCCACTCGACTGGGAACGGAAATGGCAGCCACTCACCCTGACGTCGTTGCAGACTTCGAAGCGGTGGTCGTCGCGCACCAGCGCCTCGAAGCTCTTGGCCAGCTTGATGTGGTTGCGCACGTAGCGCTGCAGGCCGGCGATGCCGTAGCGCCGCAGCACGAAGAACAGCTTGAGCGCGCGGAAGCGGCGGCTCAGCGGGATGCCCCAGTGGCGGTAGTCGATGGTCTCGTCCATGTTGGAGTGCTGGAGGTACAGCGGGTCCACGATGAGGCCGGACGTGAGGCGCAGGCGGTCGCGCACCCACAGGCACGAGCAGTCGAACGACGTGAGCAGCCACTTGTTGGGGTTGGTGTTGAACGAGTCGGCGTACTGGATGCCCTGCATGTGGACGCGCAGCTCGGGGCAGATGAAGCCGTTGCCGGCGTACGCGCCGTCCACGTGCAGCCAGACGTCCGGGTGGCGGCGCACCACGGGGCCGATCTCGGTCAGGTTGTCGAACGAGCAGCACGACGTGGTGCCCAGCGTGGTGGACACGAAGAAGGGCACCAGGCCGCGCCGCACGTCCGCCTCCATGGCCTTGGCGAGCGTGGCGCCGCGCAGGGCGCTGTGCTCGTCGGGCTCCAGGATGCGCAGCCGCACCAGCGCGATGCGCGCCGCCTTCTCCACGCACGAATGCGACTCCCTGGAGCAGTAGGCCACGAGGCGCGGTAGGTACGTGCTGTCCGTGGCCGTCTCCTCGCCGGCGGCCTCGTTGTCCAGCAGGCCGTCGTCGTCAGTGTCGCTGGGGCACGGCGACGCGGGGCTCTTGGGCTGCTCGGCGCGCCGCAGCTGGCGGATGGCGTGCGCGCGCGCGGCCAGCATGCTCACCAGCACGCACTCGCTGGCCGAGCTCTGGATGACGCCGCCGCCACTGCCCTGGCTCAGGAAGTCGTCCGGGAGGCCCAGCGCCTTGCCTGCAACGACACGAAGCAGCCGTGGTGACGCGCTCTCATCGCACGGCCGGCATGTCCACCAAGTCTCGCACTCACCGAACCAGTCTGTGACGATGGTCTCCAGCTCCGTGCACGCGGGGCTGGCGGCCTGCAAAACCATCGTCACCGTTATTAGCCTCAGCGGACAGAGCGCGTTTGTCGCAGAACCAAAGTCGAACAGATGCTCACCCAGGAGAAGCCGATGCAGCCGATGGCGTCGGACAGCATGTCGCCGAGGATGGACGGGTACGAGTTTCCGGAGGGGAAGTAGGCGTGGAACCTCGGGTGCTGCCAGTGTGTGATCTGCAAACAGGAAGCGGGGCTACAGTGTTAGTGGGCGCGAGAGCGCGTGGCAGGGACTTCTGCAGGGACTTCCCCGCGAGCCTTCCTGGAGTCGGATGGAAAGTCAACATCCTGGGCTGGGCCTTACCCCGGGCATGATCTTGGAGTCCACGTCGGCGAGGATTTGGTCCCAGTCCTCGGGCTCCTGGGGCGCCTCCTTGGGCAGCAGGGGGCGGAGGTAGCCGGGCTCCACGGTGGAGGTGACGCGCCTGGAGCCGACGTCCTCCAGGTAGTTGCAGATGTACTCCACCATCTCCTGGCCGCGGACTTTGAACTCGGCCGCGTCCATGTCTTCGGCTTACTTCTTGTCGAGCCTGTCAAGGCAAACGGATGACACGAACGTCAGACGGGCAGGCAGTGCAGTGCAAGCAGTGCCGTGCCATGGCTCGCTGAGGCATGGCCCCCAACCGCTTCACTGACCGCAGCCGCGGCGCCGCGGTCCCCGAAAACGATTGTCTGTTTTCCCTTGGCGATGCGATGCCTGTCTCTCTGTCACCCAATCTCCGCGATTCGCCAACGAGCTTCGAAAGGCACCGCGGTTAGTCCGCGCCCGACCCAGCGCGGCCCAAACGGCAAAATCCTTGTTGAGGAGTGCGGTATCGAACCCGGCACCAAAAGTGCTCGCGCACCCAGCCACAGGTAGGTCGGTGCGTGCAGAGAAATACTTGAAGGCAAAGTACCGCTGAATAATTGGCGGGGTCAAGTACAGGCTGGGAAAAGAGCTCTGCTCGTCCGACGACGGACAAACAGCGCGCTCGCGGCCGCAGAACGCAGCAGAGGCAGCACACCAGCAATTTTCTCGCGATTTTCGGAGGTTTCGGGGCACTGTACGCGTCGGAGCGAAAGTGCCGAAGCGCCGCCCCGCCGTTGACAACGTGACAGTGCGGATGACACGACACTCGAAGGCGTGGCGCGGCGGGGCGGGGCGAGTCCAGTTGGGCACCGCATCGCCCCGCCAAGCAATTCGAATCTCCCGCCACATTTTCGTTTTCCACGACAGTTTACTCGAAAACGGCCGCCTCCTCTACGCGTGCGTTGGTGGTTAGGAAGCGAGAGAACTAGTGGCGCCGCACGACGTGCTAACAGCCCAGCGTCTCGTCGCTCTGTCTCTCTCGCTCTCGTGGAGCGGGCCGCCTGGGTGCGAGAGAGACAGAGCGGCGAGGCACTGCCCGGAACAGGACTGCAGGATGGGGGCGGTCGACACCACAGAGGTCACGCGCGTTGTTTTCGGCGCGGGGTTCGGGACTCGGGGGACCGTCCGGTGACGCAGGCATTTCGACGCGATTACCGCCAACCTCTTTGAGGTCCTTGCTCCAGAACGATCAATGGCCCAGAAAACCGGTGGAGGCGGTCAAAACCCCGGACGCGTTTTGAGCTCCACAGTCGCTAAATGGGACTCGAACCGACCGTGTGACCCCACCACCGGACTGCTGTCCAACGAGGAATCCGTTGGTGGGGTCACACGGTCGGTTCGAGTCGCGTTTAGCTACTCTGGAGCTCAAAACGCGTCTACCTATAGTGTTCGCCGCCGGCGCACACTGTAGGACGGGTCCTTATTGGCGGCAATAACCCTGTGCACGGTCCTGGTTGTCATGGCGGTGGTGTGACCCCAAGGCCGCGCAGTGCGGCAGTGCGGCCGCACCCAACGCAAATATTGGTCCAGCAGGCAGCATCCACGTGCCTGGACGTCGTGCCTCGGCGTCGTGCCGACCAGCCGACAGGCCGGGTTTCCTGGTTTCCTGCAGCGCTATCTCGCGGCCATCTTGACGCACTTCACTCACCTCGGAAGGAAACGAAAGAGCTCCCTGCTGCGGCCGCCGCGAAAACGCACAATCACAAAACACCAAACACAAGCACCACTTTTGTCTCCCGGGCGATCCGGCTCGGCTCGGCTCGGCTCGGCTCGGCTCCGTTCGGCTCGGCTCGAATCGGTTCCACTCGACTCGGCGCGACTCGCGGAGGACTCCTGAGCGATCCGCCGGGCGAACGTCTATAGACTGACGGGCGCGCACCTCGAAGCCACCGCTTATATCAGGAGGGCCTTTGCGCCAGCGGCCCGCCCGGCACCAGCCCGGCCCACCGCGCGCGAGCGTGCGTCTGTGTGAGCGAGAGAGAGGCTGTGTGTGTGTGTTTTGTGCACTCGGGCCCGTGTGTATCCTCCAAACTTTTCAGCATGCCTTGCAGCATCACTTTTCATAGTGTTCCAGAAAAAAAAACAAGGGGTCTGCGCTTCTTGCACTATTGTAGTACGCGTCCTGTCTACACTCACTCTCTCACTCAGATTTAGATACTAGCTTAAAAACGACTGTTTGAAGGCAATTTGTGAGCGCCTGTAAGTGGACAAAAAGCATGGTTCAATCGAGTGGAAATTCACTACACTCACACTCAATTGGACATTATTTCGGTGAGCAATTTAGAAACCAAAGTGAAAATTGACGAATGGCAGACTTGTTGTCAAGTGACGGACGTAACACACTTATACATATGAGAAATTAAGCTCAAATTTGACACTTCTTAAGCTCCACACGCTTGGAGATTAGTACTTTGCGGCTCTATCGGCGCAATGCCACGCCCACGTCTTATTAGACGCATGAAAGACGGATGACCCATGAACGAGCGAGTGCACTGTGAATGGGCGTGCCTGCGTGCTTCTGCGTCATTCGCCGCCATTCAGGATCCAGACTTTTGATTCCCTGACCGTCCGTCCGTCCGCGCTGTCAATCTGGATTACGCGTCTCGCTCCCTGGACGCGTGGCTCGCGGTTCCGCGTTCGCGTCACTTTTTTGGGGGAACCTGGAATGTGGCCGGCCAAACACCGCGGTGCAGCAGCGAGACAGAAAGACGCCAATGCGACTCATTTCTGCTTCGAGCGAGTGCCACTGCACGCAGACCGATCCCGAGAGTCGTTTTCGTCGCTCTTCGCACCTACCATGAGATGGGGACGCCCCGCATGAGTGCGAGAGAGACCGAGCGACGAAAACTCCCTCCCACTTCCTCTTTCTGTCCTTTTATCCGCGATTGACTGAGGCGAGAGGAACACAGGGCCGCACCGCAGCGTCTCCTCAAGGTCACCGAAGGGCGCCTCGCCTTTGATTTAAAGTTTTGAGGAACTTTCAAACGCCGGGGAACTCCCTGCGAGCGCGAGCACAAGACCGTCGTCTCGCACTCCGCGCCAGGCGGCGGGCATTACTTTGATTGGCAGGCGTGATCATCAGTAAGTACGCACACACACATGCACACCGGCGTGCCAGCACACACACACAGCACGCCGCCGAGCGTCCGCAAAGTGGGAAAGGCGTCGAACGCGGCGCGGCGCGGCGGTGCTTGGGGAAGTCCAGGCCGCCTGGCCGCACACAGGACGGTGATTCGGGACATTTTCGAGTGCGGCCGGTACGGCTCGGCCCCGCGGCCATGCCCCGCCTCGCCCCGCCTCGCCCCGCCTCGCCCCGCCTCGCGAGGGTGCGAGAGAGACAGAGCGACGCGACGCTCTTGCTGTTCGGAATCGGACGACGGGCGGCTGGTTCGCGCTTCGCGCCTTGCTTCGCGCTTCGCGCCGTCCCGAGGCGATAAGTGTACAGCACCGGTCACCCGAGAGGCTCTCCGGGGAAGCTCCAGCCCGCTCCGTCGTACTCCAGCGAGAGTCCCTCGAGGACGGCGGCGCCGTGAATCCCCCTGAGTCGGGCCGGGCACGGCGGCCACGGCGTGCGCGGTGGACGTCTACGTCTATTTCGGCGCGGCGAATCGGTGAATCAGTGAATCAGTGCACAGCAGCTGCCCCGGTACAGTGTAGTGATCGGCCGGTTCAGGCCGCGCTTCGCGCTTCCGTTACTCCACTGCTGTTTGTTGTCTTAATGACGCCGGCGCCACTACGAACTACGACCTGCCGAGCGCCGAGCGCCAATCGGTGGCGGAACCAGGCGGAGCCCGCGCACCGCCGCCTCTGCCAGATCCTGCAGGCGGGGCGGGGCGGGGCGGGGCGGGGCGGGGCGGGGCGGGGCGGGCAGCTGGGGCAGCGGATGTTAGGGTCGTGTAGTCGGACCGTATGGTGGCACAATAGAACCGGGCTGGGGAGATGCAAACGTCAGCCCAGGTTCAAGTCACCATTTCGACCGATTTTCATTTTTTTCGCGTGCATCATTATCTCACAATGAGTCGGCGGCTCCCCGTCTTAGTTGCCGCGGCAGTTGAACACGAACCGCCGAACGCCCGGCGTGTGTCTTAGTGGAAGGGCCCGGCCAAGTCCGGACGAGGGTCCCCGACGGCGGCAGTGCGCATCCGCCTGGCGCCTCGAGCAGCGCAAGTAGGGGCCAGTAGGGGCAGCACGGAGAGGCTCGGAGGAGCGGCCTGGCCGGACACGACGGGACTGGACGGGACTCCGCCACCGCGTCCTTTTGTCTTACTTTTTGCCGCCGGAAAATCGATTTGCGCGGAGAGGTGGCCTGGCCGGGAGGCGCCACTCATCGCCGACAACAAAACCAACCTGCTTCGCTCCACACCGCCATGCCTCCGTCAAGTGCGTCGCCATGGCCGCGGCCCGGGCGAGCACGCGCTGCAGCAATCGACATGCAATTTGGGCGCAGGGCGGAGGGCGCCGCAACCGGAGCGTGTATCTGATGTACTTGACACGGCCGTCGATGGCATCGGTACCAGGAAGCCGTTGTGGCGCGCCCCGCCCCGCCCCGCCCCGCCCCGCCCCACCGGACACCAGCACAGCAGCCGACCGGCCTGCAGAAGCGGTTCGTGACGTCACGGCGACGACGCGCATCGACGGCGTCCTCCCCGTGGGAGATGCCCGCCATCTGGGCGGCCGCCACCATTTTCTGCATACCTGGCGAGTGTAGCCGCGCCGCCGCGTCGCCGCGCCGCCGCGCGCCACGCCCCCGAGGCCCTCTCTCTCCGGTGACGTCAGGGCCCCACGGGGCCCCCTCCCGCGGGCAGTGACGTCAGGCGGGGCCGCTCGCATTGGTGGGCCCCACGCGGCGCAGCCAATGGCATCGGCCCTTGCCTACACTGTCTGGCCACTACTCGGTACTCACTACTCCATTCCCACTGTGCCGGGCACTACTCCAGCGGGGCAGCGGCCATAAATCAAATTACACGAATTACCTCGAGACTGCCGCCCGCCCCGTCATGCCTGGATGCGAGTTGGCCGTAGCCGGCTTCGTGTCCGTGTCAGCAACCAGCGAGTGGAGACGCGAAGACGGACTCCTGAGCTCGCGCACACTCCACTCCACATCTGCCGGCGCCGCGGCGCAGTGCAACGCAGGGCGAGGGGCCGCGCGGCCGCGCGCACCGCGTGCTACACGCCGTCCATGACCTTGTAAGCCCAGCCTCCGCGGCCCTGCTCCACTGCTGCTGCTCGCCTCGCTGGGCGTCTAGCACCTCTAAACCTTTCCCACACGGTTTACAAAACAGTCGCCTCTTTTAATAGGCCGCCCGCGGTAAACACGATTTCGGAAAGAGAGAGAGTGTGTGAGTGTGTGCGCGTCTGTGTGGGTCGATGCGGTGGCTAGGCTTACGCCTCGGCTTACGCTTCCACCGCTGGCGCTGGCCGGAGGGCGTAGGCATGGCGTAGGGCGCGAGGTGCGAGACAGTAAGCAGACTGACGAGTCCAAGGGGATCGCGTGCGTCGTCTCAAAGGGGCCGCCAAGCCGGACCGTCCGCCTGGAGGGACGACGAACGGGTACGGAACGGAACGCGTCCACCAGCGCGACGCTCCACGGACCGTGCGCCCGCTGCTCGAATTCGCACTCAAGGGGCTCTCAAGGGTGCGAGAGAGACAGAGCGACAACCCGATCTTCTGAATCGCACGGCTGGCCGGGGCGGGGCGCTACGCTGACCCCCCGCTCGGTTCCCATGCAGTGACTCACACGCTGCCCCGTGGGGCACGCCGGCACGCCGCGATGGTACAGCACTGTCGTCCCGCTCTCAGCTGGTGGACACACACGCGCGCGCGCGCCATTCGCATTATGTACAAGAAGGTACAGAGGATGACGTCATCCTGGTGAGCGCAGCGATGACGCAGCGGCGAGGTGACCAGCACGCCGGGGCCCTCCGCGACGTGCTCGCGGATCCGCGGCGGCCGAGGGTCCGCCTTCTTTTCTCTCCTCCGAGGAATAATTAATGCCGATGTGATCGGGTGGCGCTGCCGCTGACAACCGTGCTAATTGGCCCGGACCGGACTGCGTGGCCCCCGGTGGCCCCGCGAGGGCCGCGAGGGGAGGGGGAGTGGAGGAGCTGCGAAGCACGCCAAGCACGCCAAGCGAGAAGCTCTCGGCGCCGAACTTTGCGATGGCTTTCTGACGCGGTCCCGAGGCACTCGATCGGCGCCCCCCAATTCCGGTAGCACGCCGCCAAGCCGTCCACTCCGCCCAGGGGCCGCGGCGCGCCGTGGCGACGAGCAAGGCGCCAGCAGGGCGCCGAGCAGGACGCCGAGCAGGGCGCCGAGAAGGACGCCGAGAAGGACGCCTAGAAGGACGACGAGCAGGACGCCGAGCAGGACGCCGATGAGAAGGCCGAACAGGATACTGAGCAGAACGCCTCGATCGCCTGCCTCATTGGCTGGTTATAGTAGTGGTCTCAACGGCTCGCGAAAGCCTCTGCGAAAGCCTCTGCGAGAGCCTCTGCGAAAGCCTCTGCGAAAGCCTCTGAGAAAGCCTCTGCGAAAGCCTCTGAGAAAGCCTCTGAGAAAGCCTCTGCGAAAGCCTCGACCGACAGTAAGCCTCGGCGAAAGCGCGGCGCGGTAGGACAAAGACATCCGCCTGTATTCTCTCTCACTCCCCCGCTCCTCTCGGCTGATTGATATCGACGCTCACGTCGACCACCTCCACCGGGCGTCGCGTCGCGTCGCGTCGCGTCGGCGCGGTCCGCGACGTCGTCATCCGGAAGGATGAGGGGGAAAAGCGGCGCCGAATTTTCTCGTTCCGCCTGATTGCTTTTCATTATTATTTTTCGACGGCGCCATTCGGATAAATCCGGATCCAGCACA